ATAATGTTATTATTATAAAGGTTCATAGTTGGTTATAATTGTGGAAGAAATTATAAAGTAACACTAATATGAATTGGAATGGTTGACTCTCACTAGATGAAAGTAGGCGAATGGTTGTAACCAAGTTTCATAGGTACTTGTCAGAGAACTAGTATTGAATTGACCCACATCAAGATCAGCTTATGGATCGTTATCATGAATGATACTTGATTAAAATGTCCTATCTGTGTATCCTTAACACCTGAGATACATAATGTCACTTAAGTGTAGGGAGTATTATGCTTTGATATGGTCAAATGTTGTTCCTAAACTGGGTAGTTATAAAAGCCATTTTAAGGTATGGTGTGAACTATGCAAGAGGCTTATGTAATCAAGATGAGATTTGTTCCTCTTTTGTGTTGAGAGTTAGACATCTAAGGTGACTTACCAAAAGTTGAACAACTAATGAGATTGATCGGTATCTGTATCTCATGTTCAACATGATGTCTATAGCGAAGGGATAACTTATAAACTTACCTTATACACCAATTATAGCTTTGAGTTTTTTGGAAATTGGGCATTGATATAATGGAACAAGGTTGTATGTTGTTAGGGGCAGTGAAATGTTGCTAGGTGTTCACCACTGTCTATATCAGTCAAATATGAATCTTGCGCAAGTAAGAGATTGAAAGGTCTAGTATGCTCAAGAGTCATATTAAAATAATATTGCTAATTAACATATGATACTAATGGGTCACACTAATAACACATTGATACAATTGATTATTTATTAGAAATTGGTTTTAATAAATATTCAATAAACTCTTATAATTAAATTGGAAATTATTTATTTCTAGGAAATAATAATTTTCATTAGCGAGTAACATTATATATAATTCATATGGTATGAATTAATAAGTCATGCACAATATTTTGGACTAGACAAATTCTTTTGTCTTTTACCAGAAAGTTAAAGTTTATATTTTATAAATTTGTTTTATAAAATATAAAGCTTTTGCCTTCTTCCTTTTATTATTTATAAAAAATAAGAGTAAAAAATGAAGAGTATGGAATTTTAATTATTTAAATAAGAGAATGGCTCTTTTATTATTTAAATAAGAGTATGGTCTATTAAATAGTTTATTCAAAAGGTAGGGTATTGTTACTACTATAAATACAAGGTTTGAGGCTTGTATTTTTGGCTAGTCATTCTTTTGAAGAATGGCCGAAACTATGACCCTCTCTCTTACTCTCTCTAGTCTTGCTTTTGCATGAAGAGAATACTTGCATTTGTCATACCCTCTTTAAGTTCATATTGGTTATGAACTTAAAGCTTAAGGGTTTAAGAGTTTGTGGACTAGCATCTAGATCAAGTTGAGTCACTGTTGGTGTCTCAAAAGTTCAATATTCTTCATCAACTTCCAAGTCTCCCAAGAGGACCCAAAGAACAAAAAATGTTGTTATTTCTTCATCCTTTATTTGGCTGGTGTTAAATGTTTCTATAACTTTCAAGAAGATCCTTGTTGTATATAAAATGTTTATGTTATTTCAAAATTTTAAGTCTTTCGTTTCCATGTTTTTCTAGTTTATGAAACTATTTTTGAACTAAAACCCAATATGTTTTACTTTCTAAATATTAATATATTAGAGATGCCATAGTCGATCATACTTTAGGATTGTATATTGATTTAAGATTGTTATGAATTACTTTTAGATGGTCCTTAGAGATTGGATATTGCATATGATTGTTGCTATATTCATGAGTACTTAGAAAATGAGGATTTTTAGTATTTGTTAAACGCATGCTTACAGATTACTTCATGGACTCGATCACGAGTAATTTAGATACAATGATATCTTTTATTCTTAAAATGGAGATACATAAGTCATAGTTTGCAAGTCTGTTGTGCATTGGTTTGCACCAGCGCATTCATAACTGGATGCTATAATGTATATTTCCATGTATGACTAGGTGAGTAAAATGTATGATTATATAGTAATAGTTTATACGTTCCTTTTGCCTATTAAGGAAAATCGATATCTTTGGGCCCCTATGTGATTTGATGTTAACATCATAGTGTTGGACCCAAATGGGACTAAATTGATGTGTTCAATTACTAGCATGATGACGTTAGCACAAATTGGGAAATCGGGAAACAAAATCTTGGACCATGAGATTGATTCTAATCCATGTCATGTGTCTATACAATATCAGGAAGAACGAAAGGATATGTGATCACTTATCTTAGGACTAACATCTGATCTGATCAGAGTCTTACATTGTCTTTGGAAAACATGCTTTACTACTTTTTATGAATTATACTAGAAATTATAGTTAGCGACTTATCCAAGTGGGAGACTATTGGATTAAGTGTCTAAGGTCTTAACTATATTGGTATACTCTTGAAGAATAAAAGTAAAGTCCTTTTTGGGTTACCATCATAACTAGTAAATAGCTTAATTGATTATAAAAAAGAGATAAATGGTTTATTAATATATCATATGATTAATATATTTATTGGAAATAGCAATAATTAATTAAGAATTAATCAGAATTAATTTTGGGTTAATTAGAGTTAGTTAAAGGTACATGGACTGGCCTACAGTTGTTCAATAGTTGAGCAAAGGTGATGATCCATAACCTTCCTAAAGGTGGACGGCTTTGAGAACCCTAATGAAGGGTTCTTAAAGCCTTCAACTTAGATAAGGAAAGTAGATATGTATTGAATTAGAGTAAATTACACAAATGGTCCCTATGGTTTAGGTAATTTACGTGTTTGGTCCATAACTTATTTTTTTAACTCGGAAGGTCCCTACTGTTTGTTTATGTTACGTGCTTGGTCCCTATCTTACCTTAAAAAAATATTATTTGCCATTGATTTTTCAATTTATTTAAATAAACACACCCCTAAAACCATTCCCTCACCTTAACTTACCTACCCTACTATTTCTCTATTTAAATAATAGTCTTTTTAGGTATGTCAGGGACCAAACACGTAACAAAAACAAATAGTAGAGACCAAACATGTAACTAAAACAAATAGTAGGGAACTTTCGAGTTAAAAAAAATAAGTTAGGGACCAAGCGTGCAAATTACCCGAAACCATAGGGACCATTCATGTAATTTGCTCATTAAATTAAAATATTATTATTTTGAATTCAAATCTAGGGTTTTTGGGATAATCTGGCAATTATATAAAGGACCCTAAGGCTTGGAAATCCTATCCCTCCTCCCTACATATATAAATAAGAATTTCTCGTATCCCCTCTCTTGTATATTCGATCCTAAGGTTTCCTAAGTTTTGGGTGTGAGGCATTAGAGGCTACCATACAATTGGAGCTTGTTTTCCAACTAGATCTTCAAGTGTTTGATTGCTTAATTCGATTTAAGAAAAAAAGTATGTTATTCATCTATATTTTTCGATTACCATTAGGCTTTTTTTTTTATTATAATGTAGGTTGCTATTCATAGTGAAACTCATAGATCTTTAAGGTTGCATAGCACATAAGTGTTTATGTGAAATTCTACAAGTACATGTGATTTATAACCTAAAAATACCAATACCAAAAACCTGCAAAACACCTCGTATAAAAGAAAAAGTATCTAGTGTGATCCATAATAAAGAAAAAATAAAATATGCAATGCAAAAATAACAAAAAAATGATTAAAAACTAAAATAAACTAAATAAAAGAAGTAAATAAAACAAACTATCAAAGATCTATTATATCCCGGGATATAGACCTCGTGGCATGACCAACACTGCTTGAAGTGGTGAACTCCCTTGTAACCTACCTCTTGTTTTCAGGAGACTAAACTAAGCTATTAAACTAATTAAACTCCATTCATTTTTTGAAATTCCATCATATCTTATTTAATGAATAACTACCCTTTAAATAGGGATAAACAAAAATCCCAAATAAGGAAACAAAGGCTCTAAATTCGACTCAAATAATAAGCGATCCTAATTACCAAATTCAAAAAGGGAAACAAGATAACTTCCTGAAATATAAAATACATATCTCTACTAACTTGATGACTTATCAAGTATGATTCATAACATTACTCTCCTCCTCTGTATTGAGCTTGTATGCAAGCTCAAAACCTAGGTACGTGTTTGTAAAACCATCTAGATCCTCGCAAGTAACATCTTCTTCATCTTCCATTACGATACAGAGTTTTGCACACTTATGGCTGACTGAGAACATCTCATTGCAATTAAAACATAATCATTTTGCTCACCTTTCTGCAATCTATGTAGTCATAAGTCATTTCTAAGTCGGGTTCCACACTTCAGATTTCACGGCTCCGGCTCCACCACCTGCTAACTCTCGGTTTTTTCTTGATAACGAGGGTTGATTCCCATTTTATAGGGGTGCTCCAAAACTCCTTGGTTGCCCCTCCTCTGACAATTTTAGCTCAATTTGTCGAGCTAAATTCATAGCGAAATAAAGGGTTTTGGGTCTTGCAAATTCGATTTCATATCGTATAATGCCAGATAATTTGCTCGGGTGTTACCAGTTGTTCGGTCCAATAAGGATTCAAATTTTACACAATAGTCTTCCATAGTTCCTTCCTGGCACAAACGGGTTAACTCTCCAATCGGGTTCATGCTCATTGGTAGCCAAAACCTGATTTTGCATTCTTCTAAGAATCCACGTTATCTTAGGTGAGTCCTCATCCTTCTGAGATTATGATACCATGAACTGTCCCACTCTGATGGAGAGAAGGTGGCTTGTCGCACCCATGCATCTATTGGGGTTTGCCGCTCTTCAAATAAATCTTCACATTTTTGGATCCATTCAATGGGGTCACCCTTCCCATCATAAGTCAGAAACTCCATCTTAGCAAACCTTGGTACCTAGCTGCCTCGGTACCCTGAATACTCGGAGTCGTCCCATATCTTGGGTGGTTCTAGTTCCCTTTAATTGAACCCATCAAATTTGGGTGGTTCCCAATTATGTCTGAATGGTTATGGATCCTTCATTCGCCAGGAGTCGTAACTCTTCCCTATTCCTCTTCCTACCCCAAAAGATGGTTCCCTAAAAAAACCCTTCCTCGACCACCTACAATTGATGTTGTCTGTCCCTTGTTGTTTGGATTGCTGCTGAGACCTACCCCTCTTCCTCTTCCTCTTCCCTGACCCTGTTCGTGGGGGTCTTCAAACCGCACCATCTCAACTTCCTCTTCTACGCTTTCGTCATCATCCCCCTCTGATCTAACACATTTTTCTCCCTTGTTTTGGCTTTGTGCTAACAACCCTTTTTCCATAGATGTTTTTTTGGCCTGCAAGGTTTCTACTGCCGCCTTCAAATCGATCGTGTTCTGAGTTTGTTGAGTCATGAAAGCTTCTAGTTTCTTTAGGAAATCTTCAGATATGGTAAACATCATGGGCGGCTCTCGTACCAAATTTGTTATGTCTCGAGATCTAGACCTTGTGACAGGACCAATGTTGCTTGAAGGAGTCGTGAACTCCCTTGTAACCTAACCTCTTGTTTGTAGGAGACTAAACTAAGCTATTAAACTAATAATACTCTATTGATTGTTTTGAAATTCCAACATATCTTATTTCATGAATGACTACCATTTAAATAGGGATAAACATTAGACTAAAATAAAGAAACAAAAACTCTAAAATCCACTCAAATAATGAACGATCCTAATTACCATATTTAAAAACAGAATCAAGATAACTTCTTGTTTCTGTTTTTAAAGCCTCGCTAGAGGATAAAGTCACCGATTCTTATGTAGACGAGAACTTGACTCTAATCAAGATTAGACCAGTATCGGAAAAGATAAATCATGCAAAATGATGATTTTTTTATTGTTTTTGTTTTTTATAACCTGTATAATATCAAGTTTAAATCAAAATGCTTCTTATTAAATCATTTGTACTTGAAAATTTTACATTAAATCATTTGTACTTGAAAATTTTACATGAGAATGGAACAGAGTTTGGCTAAAGACGGTATCTTGTTAAATGGAGAGACTTCCAATACCAAGCCTTTTGATGATATAAAATATGATATAGACAGTTGTAACTTAGTTGCCAGTTCCACTGCAGCTCATGATCAACAAATCTCTTTGAGTAAAACAGTAATTAAGTTTCTTTATCTTATTATTTTAGATGTTTTTAATCATCATCATTTTGATCTTTAATATTTTTTAATTATTATTTTCAATGGAAAAACTTCCTTGTGGTGCCACTTCAAGCGAAGGTTTCTAGTGTTGATTCAACCACACCTAAAGATCCTAAATCACTATGTATGTTTTTTTTTCTATATTGTGAAGAATTTTTTTTTTTTTTTTTTTTTTTTTTTTTTTTTTTTTTTGCTAAAGTAGCACCGAATCACATGAGATTGGTGCATATTTTTATGAATTTTATAGGGTATGTTTAGTAATTTTGTGTTTTTTAACATTTTATATAGGTTATATAATGTTTTGCAATTTGTATGCGCAAAAGTGATAAAATATTTCTAGGTGAATTTTTAGGCGAAAAAAATAAGTCAAGAAGAGTTTATTAAGAACCTGATATCGATAGTTGGGGAACACATATTAAGCTTTACAATATCCAGCCACCATGCAAGGTTTGAATGAATTGTGTTCTCATTTGTTTAATTTGATTGTTGACATATTATTATTATAATTGTTATGGTTCTATATTTTATTAAGTAGTCTAAAATATTATCAATTTTATTAAATGTATTATTAAATATAATACATATCAACATTTGATATGGTAGGAAGATAAATAGAAATAAAATGTAGAAGGATATTTAATTTCTTTTTTATTATTATTATTATTATTATTATTATTATTATTGTTATTATTATTATTTACTTTTGTTTTGTGTTGCATGTTTAGAATTCGAGAAGTATGTCAAAAGTTAAAAGAACGGCCAGAAGGTTGAAACTTGAAACATGTTAAAAATTAACTTGGTTCCGTTTAATGTTTATTTATATGTCGGGTTGATTATGCAAAGTGGATTTGTGTTTTTGGTTCTAATAACTTTATATGACATCTTTATTAGATATAAATTATTTGTGGTAAAAAGATTAGGAAAAAACATTCTCTTTCAAATATTAAATAAATAAATAAATAAATAACTTTTAGTGACATTTTTTAGTGTCCACCAAAGGCCTTTAATATCACTTTTTTAGTTTTTATTCTATGTCACTGGGTGTTATTTTGTTTGTAAAAGAAAAAAAAAGTTTTGAAAAATAACAATATTGTTAAATTTGGTATATGTCACAAATGTTAAAATGAATGATATATTAGTTTTAATATTTAGGTCCAGTAGATAAATATTTGCAAGTTAGATGAACTGGAAGATCACTTATGCGAAAATTTATGTTTCTTCCATAATAAGTATTTGGTTTGATAATCTTAGACAAGTTATATTATAAATTAATTAACTATATTGTATTTTTTTATTTATTAGCTTAGTTATCGTTTTGTTATTTTATATTTTATTTAAATTGAAAAACCGGACATAATTTTTAATATAATTTTGTTGTGGTAAAAAGATAAGGAAAAAACATTTATTTTAACAAGTATATAGTGACATAAGAAGTGTCATTAAAACCCAGATGTATTGTTGCATAATAAATAAGTGTCATTAAAAGTTACTTTTAGTGACACTTTTTTATGCCAGCCAAAGGGCCTTTAATATCACTTTTTTTGTTTTCACAAACACTTCTATATCACTACATGTCATTTTGTTTGTAATTATACAAAGAAAAAATAGTTTTGGAAAATAACAGTATTGTGCATCGTTACCAATAGGACATGTAGTGATATAGAAGTGTTTGTGAAAAAATAGACGGATACTATGTCACAACAAATGGAATGATGTTTAATTTACCATTAGATTTATCTATAAATTTTCTTCACTGTCTTTAATTGTTTCGACTATTATATGTAATGATATTTGAGTCCGATATACGTACAGATACTTTATATATAATAGTTTAAATGATATGGTTGCTCTTATGTAATTTTCCTTTGGTTTGTATCTTAACTTCTTGTTAGTTTTGGTTATAATAATAAAATTCTGTCCGATGATAGTTTGGCAACAATTTTTTTTTCCAAACAATGTTTGATACGTATAAATTAACTTATAAAATATTTTTTTAAGGTTAATGCAACTTGATTGTTAACTAAAATACTATATTTTATCTTATAAACTAGCTTATCAATAAACAAATTCAAATAATTTATTGAAAAACTAGTTTATAATATATATATATATATATATATATATATATATATATATATATATATATATATATATATTTTTGTGATCTAAACATTAAATTATAATAAACTTAACAAATGGGCTAGCTTATGAACCTTAAACACAAATTTAGTATTTAGTGAGGCCACAAAAATAATATATCATAGCTTATAAATTAACTTTTTGATAAACTATTTAAGATAACTTAGTGATAGATTAGTTTATAGGCTAAAAACTAATGCAACAATAATTTTAATAACATATAATTTTAGTAATATACCTAAGGGGCATTACAGGGAGTCAAACTGTAACGACCATAAATTTCAACAAATTTTAAACTTTTCAAAACATCCTAATTTCTTTAAGTGTTCACAAAAAGGTTTTCAATACATTTATTATCAGAGATTCTCAGAACCATAACATAAAACATAAACACGAGGAGCGGTACGATCACGCCTTTGCCTTGTCACTGTCTCTTGAAGAACCTGAAAAACATTAAACCGCAACTGTAAGCCCAAAAGCTTAGTGAGATACCCCCAAAATACCAACCACATATACCATACTCACATAACATGTTATATCATAACAAATCACAGAACAGTCATGCATATCGGGTAAACTGTGTGACTGGTCCGCCGTATCGGGCCTTCAGTCCACCTGGTCCACCCTCCGAGTCTAGTCATGTCCTTTGAGTCTGCAGTGTGGTTGGTCCGCCCGCACCGGGCCTTCAACCCACCTAGTCCACTCTCTGAGTCTACAGTATGACTGGTCCGGCCGCATCGGGCCTTCAGCCGGCCTGGTCCACTCTCCGAGCCTCTGCACGTCTGGTCTAACCTCGTGGGGCCTACAGCCTATCTGGACCGCTCGCTGGGCCTTCAGAATAACCGGTCCGCCCTGGGTATGTTGGCGTACAGCACAATGCAGGTTCCGCCTCAACCCAAACCCAGTCAAACAACCATGTGCACATAGACATACAATCATATAACAATTCACATTCAATCAAACCGATCTAGCATATCACGTATCATAACATACTCTAAACAGGATACCGACCTAACAGGTCACTAGCATATACCATCCTAATACCCGGATGCAAACATAACAAGGCAACAACATAACAACGATACCCGGATTACAATCCGATCAAGGGCCGGCCTTGGTGCCTTAGACCTTGTTGATATAGTGAGGATAACTCACCTCGCGATTTCCGAAACTCTGAACTGAAGAAGTAGATTCCTGAATCACTGACTCACCGAAAATCCCAAAGTAGCCATCATAACAAAATAGTCATTAGGCCAAACGTACATCCACTTATTGGGCCAAGGCCAAAGTCCAAATCTCCTACAAAGCCCAATATTGGCCCAATTTACTAAATTAGGCCCTCCTCACCAAATGGGCGTAGATCCAAGGTTCATAATAATAATTGGGCCCAAAATACTCTATCCAAAATGTCCAGTCATGGCCCATAAATCCGACAGCCCAAAAACAGCCCAAACTATAAGGCCCAAATTGAAAATGCCACAGAGGGGTACGCTGGGCGTACAACGATGTTCGCAAAAATGGGATCAGGGCACTGGCCCGCTATGCTGGGCGTACTCATAGGTTACGCGGGGCGTAACCTCACTGCTCAACTTTATGACATAACATCTTAATGGCTTAAGCTCTAAAGCCCAAACTTCAGATCCTTAGGCCAAATGTGATTAGGATTCATAAAGTCTCAAACTTTATCACCTGGGACGTCCATAAAGCTCTTAATCCAAGGTCTTAATCCATTAAGACCTACTTATCTCACACATAGAACAACCTCATCCCTTGGGACCTCATTTTTCTCACTCAAGACCTCTCCTAAGGTCTGAAAGGACAGATAATCTTGACCAACTCGAAACATGCAACAAGATGAGGACTTTTGGGACAAGAATGGTGTCAAAGATTCACAACACATAGATCTACACAATATAAATGTCAAGCAAGAAGCTTTATACCTCAAATAGGCTCCAAAGGATGATGTCTTTCCAGATCTATAAGCTCCAATTGTTCCTCTCCTTCTTTGACAACTTCTCCTTTCTTCCTTTATGCTTTCCTTTGTTAATCCAAGCTTTCCAAGACCAAACACACCCAACCAAAGAGGTAATACGGATATTTAAGGTTTCTGGG